ATATAATATGTGTGTGTGTAAAGAGCAGTTTTGCTTATCAATGAATTCAGTTGAGGGGCTCCTTTCTACTTTTGAGAACCAACTTTTTTGTGTTAATTACACAGGGACCTGAAGTAAGGGAGGGGAATAGCAGCTGTTTTGTGGGGTACACTGAGGGAAGACACATTCTGCCAGGCCTTCTGGTCTCTATGGTTTAATTCATGTGAAGAGAAACACATTACATTTTCACCAATACTTGTTTTTATTAAATGTTTGCCATGGAGAATAGGCAACTGAAAATTTTGAACCACAATGAGTACTAAATACTAAATGTGTTAATCGTTTTGACTAACTTCTGTCCAAAGTTAACACAGTTGCTCCGGGTACCAACAATTGAGACGTTTGACACAAAATGAATAACAATAAATAAAATAAAAAAATCAAGAACTCAAAGATGTCAGTGTCTTTCTTCCTACCTTGGTGATAATACACCTCTTCACACATTCATCAGACCTTTAAAGAAAAACATCTTCTCACTGTTATCAAATTTAGCAAGAGGTGGCGCTTCCTTTTTTTACTCTCACCAAGGCTATTCAAGGCAGATTACAAAGAGAGAAACACCTCTCAACGATGGCATTCGAGAGGTGTATTACCTTGAGACACTGCATGATAAGTTTTAGCCTGATGTAGGTTACATCACACATAGAATGAAGTCGATTCTAAACATCTTCAGGTGATTTGACAAAATGGCCAATGTTTTTCAAAACCTGATACTTGAGTTCATCCAGTTCAATCAATGTGCTTTATATTGAGATGTCCAACTCTGGCTGAGATCCTGGGTCTTCTTCCTTTTGCTTCGATTGAGGTTGCTGATGCTGCTAATTATCACCTTTTTATCACTATCTGGGTCCAAAATAACAAGATCTTGCACAGATGTGCATGACTTCAGCCTCTTGGACTGATATAAGAGCAGTTTTGGACTGTGATTCAAAAGTCTGTCAACAAGATTGGACAGGCTTGTCATTAGAACTGATATGCTTCAGTCTAAGTTGATGGAAATGTGTCACTGCTTGCTTAATGTCACCATTCCCAATAGGAGGACTCCTCTGACATTGGCCAAAAACGTATGTCCAACAACTTTGCACACTTGTTCAGGAGACCAGTATCAAGATCTGACAAACAATCAGAAATACAGTTTTCAACTCCACTCACATAATGTGTTTGTCAAGATGATTGTGAAAATATTCAAATCTATTGTTGACCTGTTATACTTAATGACCATGAAATTTATAAATGTGTCTGGCACATTGTCCATTTATGTCTTCTCAAAAGGCTTTTTATTGGCAAATTCTATGCCAGGGGTGGCCAACCTGCGGCTCGCGAGCCGCATGCGACTCTTTGGCTGGTTCAATGTGGCTCCCGGGCTTTCACATGACCAGTGTCGAAAACACCTCACCTATGGCGTTGCCATTCAAACAACGGCTCCAAGTAAAGCAGAACTTACGATGTCAGCCTATCATCAATCCTGTTCTTTGATTGACATACAGGGCAACCAGTCAGATGACAACTGAATTTTGACCTTTACATCACCACTCATGCGCAAACAATGGCGCTATGCGCTAAGGAGGGAGATTTGTGTGTCTGTGTGTTTCAGTTTCATTCATGTGATGGCCCGTCCGGCTGTTGCTCATCATGGCATGCGTGCATATGCACGCGAGTGCATGGTTGGCGCCCGCGTGCATGCCTGTGTATATGCTTGCACGTGCGTGATCGGGTCGATTGCAGGAGCTTGGTCGCTTCAAAAGTCGATCTTCAGTCAAAAAAGTTTGCCCTATGTGGCAAGCTGACCGAAGTAGTAAGTAACTGCAACTCGCATGCAGACAGTGCCTTCGAGTGACAACACCAGAATACAAGCCAGATTTGAAGAGGATTGTTCAAGAGAAAGAATGCCGGAAGTCCCTGCACTAAGGCGCTAAGCAACATGCATTGTAAAAGAAAAACTTTATTATATTTTTGTTTTTGGACTTGAGGTCTCTCTCTCTCTTTGTGTGTGTCTGCATGCGCGCGGGTGTGTGTGTGTGTGTGTGTGTGTGTGTGTGTGTGTGTGTGTGTGTGCGTGCGTGTGTGTGTGTGTGTGTGTGTGTGTGTGTGTGTGTGTGTGTGTGTGTGTGAAGGGATGGGGTGATGTTTATGTGTGCCCATGTGTATGATGTGGCTCTTTGCAGTAACACAGTAGAACAAATTGGCTCGTCGTCTCTGACTGGTTGGCCACCTCTGCTTGAGGCCTTTGTGATTTTGCAACACAAATGTAAGGAATTGTCATGAAACGCTGTTGCCCTGTCAAAGCACAGTTCACCAATAAAACAATGCTGATATTGAGGACCAACAAAAATTTGATGGTACAGTGGTACCTCTACCTACGAACGTCATATGACATTTTCAAGTTACGAAACGCCTCAACAGAAAAATATTGCCTTTTGTTCAGAAAGAAATTTCAAGATACGAAAGGTAAAAATATAGTATGGGCTGCTACTCACAGCTCCAAGTTTCCTGAACGCAACATACTTATAGCTGCTCTGCCATTGGCAATTACCGAGCAACCTCCTGGCATCCCATTGGCTAAGAGGGACCTCTACAGAATCTGTCAATGTGTGGCTATAGATAGATGTATGTTTATGCAGCGTCCTTGTCATGATTCTGTTTGTGATCAACAGGTGGCACTGTAGGGCTCCCCCTGCAGCTGCGCACCTGTTGGTTGTTACGCAAATAATTCCTATAAAAGGACTCCCTCCCGACCACTCATTGTCGGGTCATTGTTGCTGTTTGTTTGCTACTGTCATGTTTGTTCTCAGTCATGTTGCGGTCATGGTTAGTTTTTGCTTCAGTCATGGTTTTGTTTGCTAATTTGGATAATTTTTGTTTTCAGGACTTTGTTTCGGATTTAGTTTTCTCTGTGTTTTAATACAATCTTTCAAGTACACCTTGCTCCTCCCGCTTGCCTGCTTTTTGGGGTCCACAACCACCTCGCAACGTGACAGTCCTTTCAAATTTTGTATCATTTTGGCCTTGTTTGGACACCATTAAAATACCTTTTAATCCGATGTACTTCATTAAAAAGAAAAAAAAAAATCAATTCATATGTGCCAGTACCCCAACGTTGCCAAGGCTGCGAGGCCCCATTACAGCTGCTCGGAGCGCTAGTTGTGTTTGGTTTTCTCTCATTCCCACATTTTTTGACCACCACTACTTTTTTTTTTTTTTACAAAATTCTTAGCTAAAAGCCAGAATACTTTTTAAGGTTTATCCTCGACATTCTACATTTTTGACTGGTTCAAGCCATGATGCAATCAACATCATTCTTTGTTATTCACTGTCATTCAAAAACATTTCAAATCATTCCATAATTTTTCATTCAGCTTCTCAGCCTTCACATGAAATTTCTTGAGAAATTGCATTGTAGTTTTGCCATGTTTTACTCTGCTGTTTTGCAGCCTAAGTTGGCATTGCGGATACCTTTCCTGGAAAAATAAATAAATTGAACAAATAACTTCATTGACAGCTATTATGGAGTTTTTTTGAAAGGATCATCCGGGTGGGATGGATTTTTCACAAACAAGCTGAGTTTGTTGTTGTTTTTGTTGTTGCTTTTTTAATCAGTAAAATATGATCTTGCATTTTCAATGTCATCTATTTGTTTTGGAGAAATCAGTGAAAAATTAACAACTTCAAAAACACCCTCCAGAAGTGAGATATGGCCTCCCCCCCCCCCCACTCCACACCCTCCATGTCATGAGTCAAGGGAGGGGCCAGAAACTATTTGTCCATATAAAATCATTGTAAATATGTCGCTAGTATTGCCAAAATAATGAGGATCAATCGGCCCCGAAATGTATGTGGACATCTGTTCTTAAGGCCACTTTACCCCCTGAAAATATAAAACGTTCAGCCTTTCCATGGTTGACTTAAAAGAGCAAGAAATAAGCAGCTTATGGGCATCTTACTTGGAGTGTCTGTCGAGTCTGTTTTCTTTGACCAAGATATGCAAACACAGTAAGTTCCAAGAAACTTTTCATCAGAGGAATTGTTTGTTAGACATAAGGTGAGAAGCTCGGCCATCTGGGAGGGGCTCAGAGTCAAGCCGCTTCTCCTCCACGTCGAGAGGAGCCAGATGAAGTGGCCCGGGCATCTGATTAGGAT